CACACACACACACACACACACACACACACACACACACACACACACACACACACACACACACACACATGAACAACACACTTTCATTCACTGCTGCTACTCGTGTCAGTTGACGACGATGTCGACCCCGATTGGGACGAACCGCGGAAGGCCAAGAGCTGCTGTTACTCGATTCATCATTTTCTTCCACACGTTTCCTCTTCTTCTGCGGTCCGCATTTCGGCGATCGATCAGCTGCTGCGGCTTTCTTTTGCACTCGTCTACCAACAGGTCAGTTCTATTCCCTCGGCCACCAACCCACCAAACCATTCGGCAGGTCTGTCTAAGGTAAGACCCCCGCAAATGAACAAAAAAAAAAAAAAAAAAAAAAGTCTATCCAAAGCTTTCTAAGCTCCAGCAGCAATTCATTGACTGAGTCAACAAGAGTTGATTACGTGGCAATCTTGCAACTCTCTTAGGAGTCTGAGATGTGCTTCATGTGCTTTAAGATTCCTTTCAGACAAAGTAAACCAAGAAGATCAGGAGCACTGGAGCAGTGCTGTTGACGAAGATGAGTAGGAAAGTTGTTGCCATTGCCAGAAAGATTTCTCATTAAACCTCTCTCCTTTGCAGGCATTCTAAGGAAGCTGCTGTTTCACCGAGCATCCAACAAAGCTGTCACCTCAGAGAGGTCGAGCTTGATGTTTGGGAATCCTGCAGTGGTCGGTGGCGGAGATGGCACTACATCAAGTGGAGTCACAGTGGTTCCTCCAGCTGAAGGTGTCGGGGCACCCAGGGGAAAACGGCTCAGTAATGCTGGGGGCATGCAGCGGGTTGGGAAATTCAGTACGAGGGCAGCCAAGTTTTTTGATGAGAACATCTTCTGGGTATTCCGGAATAGGGAGGGAGAGGAAGAGGCAAGTCAGAGCAGTGAGGAAACTAGTGATGGGAGTGGTGCTGCAGAGGGAAGGTTGTTACTTCCAAACAAGAAATCCAAGGGGAACGATGCCAATGAGTCACCTCGACCTGTTTTTCAGCAAATGATGATAGGAGGGGGGATTGGCAGCCGCCTTACTGAGACGGGTAGAAGCATTGTCCATGGTGGTCCTTGTAATCATCCTGTTCTTGGAAAAGTCCTTCCAAATGCAACTCGAGGCCCGCTTTCGGAGAGTCAGGTGGAGGGGGCTCTGAGAGACTCCACGAAGGCTGCTAACGACACATTGAGAGGGAATGTCCTTCACATGTCTGCGACTAGATTGGAGAATAGTGTTGACCTTCCGAATGCCGGAGGTCCACCAGTCTCATCTGCATGTGCTCATCCTATAGGAAAACTCAGCAATGCTGGGCCATTTCACCAGGCAGATAGTGTTTCAAGTGTTGGTGTTGAAAACACCGAGCTGTCAGGGTGTGGTGGAACTGTAGAAGGAATAGATTCTAAGACCAACATCACTTCCCGGGAAGTCCAATGCTCACCATTCTCTTCTGTGCATGTGTTTCCTGGAGGAGGGTGTAATACTGCTGCTGCACTTCACCCAGGACATACATCAGGTACTGATTTTGGGAAGAACGAATTCTCAGGATCTTTGAGGACCAGAGAGATGGACCCTAAGGATCCCAGAAGCCCCCTTCTTTCCCTCCGTTCACAGCCTGGAAATGAACCTGGGAGCAATGAGGGTGACACAGGTGGAAGTATAGATCTTGTGTCATGCCCAGTGAATTGCTGGGGCCATAGCAAGGGACTTACACTGGACGGTGCTGAGGATGCAAGCTTCGATGTGGGTTGTTCTCAGAAAGACAGTGGATTTGAAGCTTTTGAAAGGTATTTGGCTGCGGGGTCCAGCGATGTTTGGGGTAGGCGTGAAAGAGAAAGTGGTGCACAGTGGTTGAACAGAGGGCTTCATTTTGGGATGACTGCAGGTAACGAGGCTCAAGGAGCTACATCAGTTTCACATCGTATCGAAAATGGAGATGAAAGATATTCATCCAGATTAAACCCTTTTGTTAACTTTGAAACAAGTGGTGCTCTGTCAGTTCCTAAGGATGAAGAAGCTACTGGAATCATCACCTTGGAAGATGTGATCGAAGAATTATTGCAGGTAAGCGTTTGGAATGTTGTTTGCCATTGGATATGATGATCGCATAAGTCAAGTAACAAAACTGAGAGGGAGAATTGGTGAGGCAGTTGTGACACGATGGTGGTGGCCATGGTGGCAATCATGATGACTAATGAGGAGGAGGAGAGGAGCAGGGGGAAGAGAAGGAAGAGGGTGAAGAGAGGAAGAGGAGATGGAGATGGAAACCTCAGCAGTGAGTCCAGTCATAAAATATCTTTACCAGTGAAGATAAGGAGTGGTGGGAAGTGTCTTTTGGGTCCAAATTTATATGGAGAAATGGTCCATTATTTTGAGTGGGGAACCGGGCCGCCCGGTGACAGGCCGCGGCCTGGGGGAGGTCCCGGGCGGCCTGGCCGGGCAGGGCACCCAGTTGGGGGCCGGGCCCCCCCAGCGCAGTCACCTGCCGGGGGGTTTCGGACCCGCTTTCGGCTGCTGCTGGCCTCCTGCAGGCCTACCGGGTCCGACCGGCCCAAAAAACCTCAGCGTCGGGCCCGGTAGGCCTGCTTTGTTTTTTGAATTTTTCATCGGCTTTGTGGACGTCGATCCTCCATGATCGACGGCCACAGAGTCGTCGGATCTTGGCGCCAAACTCTCTCTCCCCCCTTCAAACCTTCGATCGGCTGGGGTGGGCTGCCACTCGCCCCCCAGCACGATCCCAGTTGCCGACCTCCTCCTGCTGCGCCGTCGCCCGTCGCCCGTCGCCCGTCGCCCGTCGCCCGTCGCCCGTCGCCCGTTGCCATCGCCATCGCCATCGCCATCAGGTGTGCAGCTGCTGCTGCTCTGACGAAGGCCGCGACTCCCCTGCCGCTGCTGCCACGACGAAGGCCCCGACTGTCCTGCTGCTGCTGCCATGACGAAGGCCCTGGTGCTATGACGAAGGAGCCGTTCTTCTTCTTCTTCTTCTTCTTCGTCTTCTTCGTGCCCGTCGCCCGTCGCCCGTCGCCCTCGCCATCAGGTGTGCAACGAAGGCCCCAACTGTCCTGCTGCAGCTGCTACGACGAAGGCCCCGACTGTCCTGCTGCTGCTGCTACGACGAAGGCCTTCGTGCCACGGCGAAGGCACTGTTCTTCTTCTTCGTCTTCTTCTTCTTCTTCTTCTTCTCCTCCTCCTCCTCCTCCTCCTCCTCCTCCTCCTCCTCCTTCTTCTTCTAGTTCGTCGACATTCGGTAGGTGACGTGAGACACGACAGGTACAAAAAAAAACACAACCGTCCTCCTCCCCCTACTTCTCCGCTCATCTTCTTCTTCTCCTTCTTCTTTTCTCCTCGTCGTCATCTCGTCTTCCAATTCCCCTCCTCCCCCTCGCGTTTTCATCTTTCCCCTCGACCCTTCTTGATCTTCTTCTTCTTCCCCTCCTCACCTCTCTTCTTCTTCTTCTTCTTCTCCCCTCGTTAGGTCTTCTTCTCTCCTTGTCTGCTTCTTCCCCTCCTTCCGTACTCCTCCTTGCCTTTCTCCATACCCTACCGCCGCCGCCATATCCTATCGCAGCCATACTTCTTCCCCTTCTTCTTCTTCTTCTTCTTCTTCTTCTTCTTCTTCTTCTTCTTCTTCTTCTTCTTCTTCTTCTAGATCATTCGGCAGGTCACATGAGACATGTTAGGTTAAAAGAAAAAAGAAAAAAAACGAAGGCCATCCTCCTCCCCCTCCTTCTTCGGTCATCTCCTTCTTCTCCCTCTTCTCTACTCATCGTCCTGTCGTCTTCTTCTTCTTCCCCTCCTCCCCCTTGCGTTTTCATCTTTCTCCTCGACCTTTCTTCATCTTCTTCTTCTTCCCCTCCTCACCTCACTTCTTCTTCATCTTCTTCTTCTTCTTCTTCTTCTTCTTCTTCTTCTTCTTCTTCCTCCCCCCTCGTTAGGTCTTCTTCTCTCCTCGTCTTCTTCTTCCCCTCCTTCCCTACTCCCCCCTGCCTTTCTCCATCCTCCATCCTCCATCCTCCATCCCTCCCTCCCTCAATCCCATCTTGCCATCCTCCATCCTCCATCCCAGACACCCCCCACCCAGACCAACTCCCCCACCCCACCCCCTAAACCAAAATTTTATTGCAGATTCGGGATCTTTTACTCTCCCCAAGCGCAAAACAACCCCGGTTCCCAAAAAAAAAAAAAAAAAGAATTCTGGGCGTTTTTCTGCCCTGCCCGGTTTACCCGGGCAGCCCCCCTGGGCCTGCCCAGCCGGGCGTAGCCCGGCCGGGTGGCATCCTCACTCAGCCATTATATAGGATGGTCGTTACGAGGACTTTTGTGCCTGATCCTATCCAAAGTCAGAATCCAGTGCGGCTCAGCTGGAATCCTACTGGGATCCTTGGAAGAACTTAGAAACAAAGAAGAAAATGTAAGGTGTCCTTTGGGACATTCGTTAAAAATTGAAACGATACAGAGAAGATTAGCATGACACCGGCACAAGGATGGCACCCATAAATCAAGAAATAATCCAAACTAGCTAAGCGCCCACGAAAAAAAACAAAAAAAAACAAAAGAAGTTAGGCCCAAACCAACTGCTAAATTTCAGCACTATTAACGAATTCAAGAAACGGAACACTCATAGAGAGACAGAGAATGGGAGAGAGAAAGAGAGAGATAGAGAGGGAGAGAGGAGAGAGAGAGATAAAGAGACACAGATAGAGAAAGTCAGAGGAGAAAGAAAAGAAGAATGCGAAGAACAAAGAAAGAAGAACATCATTCAAGTCAGGAACAGTGTGCAAAATGATGAAGGTACAACAACCACGAAGTACAATTCATCTCCATTTTATTAAAAGAAAATAAAATAATATTTATTTGCTCTCTCTCTGTCTCTCTGTCTCTCTCTTTCTCTCTCTCTCTCTCTCTCTGCATCTCTCTCTCTCTCTCTCTCTCTCTCTCTCTCTCTCTCTCTCTCTCTCTCTCTCTCTCTCTCTCTCTCTCTCTCTCTCTCTCTCTCT